CGGAAGAGAACGGAAGCACGCAGGACACCCGCACAATTACATCGAGTGACGTGAAAGAAAGTACTGCGAGCAATCGTTCCATCGAGAGTCCGAGTCTGGATAGACCAGTAGTGCCAGAGTTGAACCTTGACTCTCTTCAAGATAACACGGTATCGTCCTTCAAAATGACGGCGAATGGAACAGTGACGAAAGAGGACAACGATAGTCCTAGGGAGAGCGACACCACGACGTCGTTAATCGAGCCATTGATTTCAGATGAGAGATTGATGAACCAGCAGGCTTTAGCTGATCGCGAAGAAAATGTTGCTGAAGAGCTCACGGAAAGTTTATCGAGACATCTGCAGTCGGAAGTTCCAGAGACCGATCAATTATATCGAGCGGAACATGCGGAATATGAATGGCTGGAGAAGGATCTGTTGTCTCTGGAAACCAATTTAGAGGACGAAGTAAAATCTCAGGAAAACAGTATGGTTTTACCGGAAGATGTTGTTCTAATTGGCCCGCTTTTACGAGACGAGGAGATGAAAAAGAAATTAGAAAATGAGGAAGAGATTGCGAGAGAATTGATAGGCTCGCTAGAAGAGGATATGCAACTTTACGCTAAAGACTTAATGTTAGAAGAGAAGTCTAAAGATAGTGGAGAACCTGAGAAAAGCAATTCAAGTGTGAATGACAAATCTAATCGCTCTTTGTCGGAATCTGTTGATGAACAGGAAAAAAGGGAATGTGAAATTTCTTCAGAGGAAATTCAAACTTTAGATAAAGATGCAAAGGCTGAAGTAATTAATGAATTATCTAGCCAGATGGCGGATATTAAACAAGATCACAAAGATAAGAACACTGTAATAATAGGCAATGAACTTGAAGAACTTAAATTGGAAGTGGAAGAGAAAGATTGTGTAGAAATTAGGCACGTTGCGCCTTTAGCACAATTTGAGCAGGACGAATTACTAGAATTTAATGGTGCACAAACAATAGAAAAGAATGAAGAGAAGATTACAGTCGAAAGTAAGCTTGATATTATTGATACAGTTTCTTTCAATAATAAAGAAAATCTTGAAGACAAGCAAACAAGCGTTGCAGAAGTTATAGAGAACCAAAGCAACGAAAGTACGAATAAGGATGAGGAGAAGATTACAGTCGAAACTAAGCTTGATATTATTGATACGGCTTCTACCAATGATAAGGAAAATCTTGAAGACAAGCAAACAAGCGTTGAAGAAGTTATAGAGAGTCAAAGCAACGAAAGTACGAATAAAATTGAAGAATTACATAAACAACGAAAAGAAAGTGAAGAAAATATAAAAGATGGAAAGATAGAGAAGGATGAGGAGAAGATTACAATCGAAAGTAAGCTTGATATTATTGATATGGTTTCTACTAATAATCAGGAAAATCTTGAAGACAAGCAAACAAGCGTTGAAGAAGTTATAGAGAGCCAAAATAACGAAAGTACAAATAAAATTGAAGAATTACATGAACAACAAAAAAAAAGTGAAGAAAACATACAAAATAAAGAAGAATGTGAGAAAGAGAAATTGAAAATTGAAGAAAAACGAGAACAAAAAGAAATAGAAATAGATGAAGAATGCCAGCAAGAGAAATCGGAGAAATACACGCAAGAAGATCTAAAAATCCAAGAAAAAGATGATTACGAAAATTTACAATTACAGGAAAAAATTGTGGATATGAAAACAGTGCCTTTGGAAACAATAGAATCAAGAAAAGGCTTGATGAACGAATCGACGAATGACGATGATGACCATGGAGAGACTAACGATAAGCTAATTACTTGTGACGAATTCGTTACTGACGATAGTATAGAAAAAGATGTGAAAAATAACGAGATAGAAAAACATAAAGATCTTTCAACAAAGATAGAGGATGTTCACAAGCCAATTGCAAGTGTAATATCGGAACAATCGACGAAAGATCATTTTCATGGTGGATATTGGATTACGGAAACAAAATCATCGACCGTGGAGACAGTGATTGAAACTTCTGATCTTAATGCGAATATAGACGAGGGGATAGAGCCTGCTGCTGATGTGCCAGAAATTATCAAAGATGAATCGCTTATTCAGAAAAAAGATGATTTTTATTTAGCAGTTGTGAAAATCCAAGCTTGTGAGTAATGCTTGTGTTTAATAAAATTATGTTATTAATTGTGATACTTTAATTATATTGCGTTAATAATGTAAACTAACTATTAATTTTTTTATCATTTAATATATTTAAGTCACACAGTAAAATTTAAAAAAAGATAAGTTCGATTAATTTCAAGGATATAAATAATATCGCATCGTCCATTCTATCGAGATCAGAAGGTGGAGTAATAAAATAAATACTATTTTGAGATAAATATGATATAATAAAACGCATAATCTGTTTTAAGAGATGATAAAAAAATAAGTAACAAAAATCGTTTTGTGAAGGTTTCCGAGGATTTTTAACGCGTCGTCGTATGAAAGAAGATGTAAACTCGAAATCTGTTTCGAATAACGTTTCTTCGGTACAGAAAACAGATACAGTAAGTAGAATAATTATAATAACACTAATTAATTTTATTTAACTAATCCCTGAAAGATAATTAAAGATTAAAATTGGATAGAAATATAAATAAGTTTGATGATAACAACTTACGAAATTGAATAAAGACTATTGCTACATGCAACTGCGAACTTATATAAAACTTACATAATATTACATTGAAAAAGAAATTATTAAAATTATAGAATAGATAAAATCTTTAATAAAATAAAATTTTATCAAATACTTAAACTGTAATTTTGCATGTGTGTAGTTATTCAATATATTGAAACTGGGTCTCGAAATTGAGTCGTGTAATTTTCCTTCGTTTTGTAAAGTCGAGCAGCTGAACGTAATATTTTGTATGCCACGCCCGCCGGAAGTACATTACGTAAAAGAGGAAGCGACAGGTCACTGCTAAACGTCAGCGCTTTCGTGATTGCAACAGACAGTTCGGTTATTTGGCAATAACAAGCTTGGCAGCTGCACCTCAAGAGCTCTGTTAAACTCCCTTAAAATAATTGTTTCTTAGATCCAAATTGATGTTCACGACTTTACAAACATTATGTCTGTTAGATTTCCTTAAATTTTGTATTTTTAAATAAAATTTAAAATTTCTTTAATAAGTAATTATTTAAGTATATTTAGGGATACAATTTTTTTCTCTTTCTGGAAAGGATATGTCTTCCATTTCTTAACATTAAAAAAAATAACGATATAATCAACAATTCTATAGATTATTAATTTTTAGAAGGATCATTTAACGGTGCCGCATCCTTCAAGTTTGCGAGAAGCCAGAACTGGAAGGCAACGTCTTCGACGAGAGGAAGCTCTACGAAATACTACTCTCTCATTGGAGAATGCTTTCGCTACAGGTAGACTTCAACATACTGGCGAGTTTCATGATTCCGTGCCGTTGCCTCTTTTCGATTCAATATACCGTAAGGCTAATTCAACGACGGACGAATTTTTGAATAAAACGATTCAGGAGGATGTAGAACAAACTAATCAATCTGATACTGCAGAATCTAATGCCAACAAGAGCGATTCCGTGTAAGTAATTCTTATAAAAGAATTAAATATTTTTTGCTTCTTAATAATTTATATTAAAATATACCATAAAATAAAGATAGCATCGTGTATAAATATCTTTTTGCTTTATACAGTCACGATGACGAACACGGAGGGAGTTTTGAGAAAGGCAACGTCTTCACCGATCATTCGACTTTTCCAATCGTGATGCATCTCCTAGCGGATGCATCTCGTAATTGCCGCTTTACGGTCAATCAGAACTCCCATTCTGATTTTGATGCAAACGCAGGAGGAGCGAAACCTAAGGAACCGACACTGACGGATATCTTGATGCTGGGTTATCCGAGAGACGATGAGAATCGATACTTAAATTTCATAACCAGCGTGGAGGATCTGGGCTCCAACATGGATTCCTTGTCTCTAGACGACACAATAAAGAGCTCGAAAAACGCCGACGCTCATCCTTCGACTACTTCCGGCGAGGGTAGCCTCAGGGAACCTCTGGCTCTTCCGGGCACCCCTCAGGGTGTCGTGATCGAGGAGGTGACTAGTCTGAACGCTGAACTTGTCCCATCGGAGTCCGCGACAAAATCGTCGACCGCGTCGAAAACCTCGCTAGATACAAATAGCTTGGTGCCATCGGAGGAATGTACCCTCGAGGACGAAAAGAAAGATTTAGGAACGTTGCCAGAGATCATGAAGGAAATGGGAGACCGGAAACATATGGATGGAGGGACTGAAAGACAAAAGTCTGATTGCAACCTCGAGAGCATTCCAGAAAACGGTTCGCATAGTGAGGATGTGAAAAAAGAATCTAGCGAAGTCTCTTGCGACAATCACGAGCGCGTGGAAGAAGAGAAGAATGAAAAGACGTGATTTATAAATATATAAAGATATATGGAGTGAATCGAAGCACGGCACGATTAGTTCCTTCGATTAAGATCGTCGCTTGTGTGTGTGTGTGTGAGATAATAATTATCGCGATACTTTCACTCTGCATGCATTTTAGGATAATTTTGCAAGGAGACATTATTGTTCCACATTATTCTTAACTTCTATGATTTAGAATCTCTAATTTTTATATATTATAATTATTATAATTTATATAGATATAGGAATAATATGAGTAGAGACTATTTCTCAGGAATAGTTTAATTTAAAGTATACATTATATATGCCGTGCAATTACCAATATACGTATAGAAGATACAATGAGTTCTAGATTTGCAATTGTACTACACAATACAAGCGAACGATCTCTTCCCACTTTTACTACGTACATAGTTCGGAGATATACATATATCTTTATAAATGCTGCACAGAGCAGTAATAAATTGTATGATAAATTACAATTTGTTTTCATTTTAGAATATCTATATATTTCATGTATAAAAAATAACAATTTTAATCAATATTACATAACTATACAAGAGATAACGCCGCACCTTATGCACATTAACAGTGCTATGAATTAATCGCAAAAGTCGTGAAGATAAAAATATTTAATATTGTTTCATTTCTTAATATTATATATTGCTATCAATTCTATTGCTATCAATTCTAACATTTCGATCTGCAAAACTTCCTCGGAGAATCAGTAACTAGAATTGGTAGCAATATATAAAATTAAGAAACGAAACAAGATTACATTTTTCATCCTCACGATTTTTGCGATTAATTCATATTGCACATATCATTATGCACTGTTATTGTGCATAAGCGGCATTATAATTGTATAATGTAAACACATCGAGAATATCTTATCATTGAGTATGCTTCATTTATAACTTACGATTATCTCTTGTATAGTTGTGTAATATTGATTAAAATTATTATTAATTAAAACTAAATATATATATATAGAGAGAGAGAGAGAGAGAGAGAGAGAGAGAGAGAGAGTTTTATGATTGAAAAGTTTCATCTTCCAGACATAGTGATCGCTAATTGTTCATAATAATTAAAGAACTTTGAATCTCGGACCGGCACTGTTTTGCATTTTGATCACGCGGAATGCAAACGGATCTCGGGTACACGGACCTTGATACATATTTTTAGTGCCTGCCGTGATAGAGAGAGAAACGAGAGGAACGAGAGAATCAGTATCGTGATCGTTGCGAGCATTCATTGAGCGGGGATCCAAGGTAAGAGCACGACGTCGCGGTGACGCCATCAGGCGTCGCGACGACGGCATCATCGTCGCCGTCGCCACCGCGGCCACTCGCGCGTAGTCATCACCGCGACCTGTCGCTGCTCTCTCTTTCGTCGTGTATATTGTTCGCTTCCGTATGTAAACGATATTGCCACTTCGGGAGAATCAGTCACGTTTGCCGATAGTTGTCAGTGATTACTCTGCTGCAGTTTTGTCGTATCCGGTATTTGATACGTCCGGTATCTCTGAGGTAAGCAAGGTCAGCAAGCGCAAACGCGAATTGCACAAACTATATATAAGATAGATGGTGCAGACAGATAACATTATTCCAAAAAATTTATCAGAAAATCTATATAGAGTATATATATACATATATATAAATTTTTATATATAATATTTAATAATATATTTTATATATATATATATTTTTTTTCTCTTATTTTATTATATTTTTATTTAGGTTTCTATAGAATGGAATATAAACGGCATGGCTTTCGGCTGAACTTATTTATTTTTTTTAAATATATTATCGAAAGAATCTTGAAAATTGAGGATAGTAAAAATCAGCTTCTCTTCAGACGTTTATAATTTAAAATAACGGATATCTGTATTGCATTGGAAAACTTTGCAAATATTTTTTATAATTGTTGATATTATTGCATAGTGTGTGGATAGCAATCTGTCTATTCTCTTTTCTGTATATTTTTATAAAATTATAAAACCTATCAATATTATCTTTGCGTGAAAAGTTTATACTGATTAAAATATCATTTCGCATAATAAAGGAACAACATATCCACTTATTCTCTAGCTTAAAAAATAAAATTATTGCGTACTTTTTAAATTCTATATAATTAAATATCATAATAGAATTTAAAAAATAATATAACATTAAAAAATGAATTATATGATGCAAAAGATATCAATAATAAGATATAACGGCGAATATGCGCGGCATTCACGAGTGGGATCGTTATCGATGCTTGAGCCGGCCGATTGAACAATGTATATCGTTTGAGTGAGTATATTTTCGTGATGATGAGCATAAGAGAAGCGTTATACGCGAATATACGCTCGAGATCAAACGGCGGACGCAAGCAAATTGGAATGCTCTTGGTCGTGCGCGCGTGCGTCCGCGGACTTTTGTCGACACTCTCGCGACCATCAATCATCAATCAGCGTATATTGGCCTCAGGACGACGAATTTACTATGACGCGCGATTCGACTCACGAGACCAAAATTGATGCTATGCCCGGGCGATGTATTATACGGACACTTTGTGAGGTCCCTCTTCAATACAGGTTTATTTGACTCGGTGCGATCCATCAAATTGCACAAGTAAAAGAATATAAATCTAAATGGTATTTTTTACAATCCAAATGGTATTATTTAAAGTTTTGTAAGTTAAGTTGCTCAATTATATTTTTGAAGGAATATGAAACAAGTACTTAATTGTAAAAAAATAAAACTAAAATAAAAATTGTAATGAGAATAAAAATACTCCGATGCTTGATGCATCATATTTAATGCATGTAACACGAAAATCTTTCAGTTCAATAAAAATATTCTCGTATATAATTTTTTACTTCCTTTAAACTATATAAAGAAAGTAGATAATATAAAATAAAATTTTTCAAAATATATAAATTAAATAGAAATTATCTCTCGGAAAATAACGATTCTATTCGAGACACAATATACCTAGTGAAAGTTATATATTTTTGAATTTTATTTATAAGATAAATAATTAGTTATTGCGCTCATTTTTAGCTATCATTTATGTACCACGATTATCGGGAAGATCTGTACTCATCCTCTGCCAAGTTTGCACGAAATTAACCATCCTCTCGTGGACGCGCGGAATAAGACGTAAGGCGATCGATGACGCGGAAAAACGAGAGCTTTCGCAGCGAGGTATCATCGTAGAACGCATGCGCGATAGATCCATTCTTGCTTCGAGATGGATAAGCGCGATCGCCGAGACTCTTTGTCATGCATCCGTTACGCGTCAGTTTCCCATCTTGCTTGTAGTCAGGAGGACGCGCGATAAAGAGATCGCGGTGAGATCGGAAGTGAACAAGAGTGCTGGACCGAAGAACAATCGTTCGCATCTTTGAATCTTTTCCCGTGAAAAATCGTATTTTAACATTGATCCTAAAGAATCAGGAAGATCAGATTTGCTTCATTTCTTCTCTCGAATCGATATTTATGGATCACTGTAAAGATCGTTCAATCGATCCGCGCTACTGGAGAGCCCTACTTTTATAAATATTTTCTGCGATTTGCTTCGCAATTTTTTTATATTTAATCATAATAGATACAGCGATTTTCCAAATTAATTCCTAAAACAATCGACAGAATGTTAAGGTGATTTCCTTCTTGTAGAATTTTCAGAAAGGAAGAAGCTGCTCTTTCTTTCATTTTGGCGTCGATATTTATAGAAGATTGAAAGTATCCTAAAGTTTGTCCTACTTCCGCTGGTGGGATTATAAATAATCGAAGGAATATTCCGCTCTCACGATTACCCCATTTGCCTTTTAAAATAAATCTTCAAGAATAAGGAAATCTTCATCTCTCTTGATTCAGTTGGAATCAATTCTAATCGATTTCCGATTGGCAGAAAAATTCTGAACTTGGCTTGTTTTTTGAGAAACGATCTTACAAGCAATCAAGAATAATTAAAAATCGTTTTTGCTCTCGGGATCGATCTTTGTATACCGGAGATACGTGACTTTCTTCGAAAACGATCTCTGTAAGCAATCTCAGCAAACGTCTCGACGTTTCTTCGGAATCGATCCTCGTGGAATGATTTAAAGAATTCAGGTCAACGGATTTTAACGATCGAGAGACACGGTGCTTTTTCGCGTGATCGTCTTAAAACTCCATTCATGTCGCAGACTCCTAAGGAGGAGACCGACGCGATGAAGGCCAATACAGCAGCAACAAAGATCCAGGCCAACTTTCGTGGATATCGTGTACGTAAGCAGTTGAAGGAATCCACACCACGTCGTCGTCAGAGTCAGCAGCGACAGGATCAGGACCCGCAGGAGCAGCAGCAGAATCAACAACAACAGCGGGAATTTTCGAAGCCAAAGGAACATCTTTTCAAGAGACAGAACACTCGGGAGACACTCGAGGAGAAGTCAGCGACCAAGATCCAGGCGGGTATTCGTGGCTTTCTGGTGCGGAAGAGGCAACAGGCGGTTCAGGCCGCGGCGACGAGGATTCAGGCCGGCTTCCGTGGCTTCAAGACGCGAAAGTTGCTGAAACAGAACGGTCAATAGTTTGTACTTGCTGATCTCTTCCCATCGGACGAAGGATGACATAAGGCGTCGACGTGTATATTAAAGGTGCTTCTCATTTATATCTCTGATTGCGCTGACGTAAATTTACAGCCGCTATGAATGTGCATTTGTGTTTGTTGCCAAGTTGAGTAAAAGATGTAAGAATTCCTTGGATCTAGTTTTTCTCTATTCTTTTATAAGCTTTGATATATACAGGATGGGCTCAAACGTTCCGGTCAGATTTTGAGATTTTATAGGAAATTTAATTTCGAACAAAAAGTTTCCGATAAATATGGGTCGAAAAATGCTTCCTTAAAAAGTTAGCGGCTAAAAACCTCTGAAATCACGATTATTTTATATACGCACACGCACACGCACACGCACACGCACACGCACACGCACACGCACACGCACACACGCACACGCACACGCACACACACACATTATCGTAAATATAGAATGTCTAATTCTTTTTTAGTTCATATTGATATTATGAAATTAATTATTTCTACATATTTGTTAACCACTTGTTGTCACCAAAAATATTGTTTTATAGCATAGCTTCTGTTTGAAATATAAACAATAGAGGAATAAAAAAAATTAATAAACAAGTTCATCACATGTTAATCAAGAAATGATAATTTATTCAACTATTATTAATCTAAAAATTTTAGCTTAATAATCTTGTTTTGAAAGAATTATCTGAAATAATAGAGGATTGTCACAGGAGAAAGAATAGTTTTGTGTATCACATAATTAACATTATCTAATATCTTCTGTTATGCAAACATTGTATGATCGACAATATAGCCAGAACTGCCTATGAAATAAAAAACATTTTTAGTCTCTATCTTTGAAGCGTATGTTTGCGATGATTGCAACGATTGCGTGCTAATATTAATCATCACTCATTAACTGCAGAAGGAAAATGTAAACAGCTGCAACATGTGTGCATCTGTGACATCTCATCACTCGGATGCGGCTTTTACAAACGCGGTTTAAATATAACACTGAGCTCGCCCCGAGCCCTTGACCCTTAAATTCTTAGCATCGAATTCTCTGGCATGCGTCTCTCGATTATCTCAATATACTTATTCTCATATTATTTGTCGGTTGTTTTTCAGTAATACGTGGATTCGTTCGTGTAGTCGGAGGAAATCTCAGAATTGGATCGGAGATGTCGAAGAAACAACTTTTAATTAAATCAATTACGTTGATCTTCGCAATGCTTGACATGTGTATATTTTTGGGACACTGTGTATTTTTGAACACAAACTTCGTGAAATTTGCCGAATACCATCTCCAGAATTTAATGAATGATAACTAATGACACATTGTTTTATAACAATCTTTATCATTATCATTATTTTTAATTTAGTTTGATTTTTTTCTACGCTAACTTTCGTATAATGCTGATAACGATAAACAATGAAGACAAAAGCAATAATAGAAGACGTTGTTTTAAGAAAGTAATCGATATACATATATGTATGCGATATAAGTTAGTTAAATGATTATGTGAATCTGTTGAAAAATTCTCTTGTTATTTTATGTCATTTTTATTGCGATGTAATTAAGGTATTAATTTGAGCGCAAATTAAAGATATATTTCTATATTGTAATTTCGTATCTACGTGAATCTTGTCGATAAACGATATATGTATTTATATAATGAGTAGTGTGTGTGTGTGTGTGTGTGTATAGATGTATATATACTTTTTTGTCATATACTTGCATTATATTTCACAATTTTGCTTTGATTTTATGGATAATAAATCTTTAGTCTTTATAATAATTATTTTTTAGCACACATTTAATATATTAGTGTCAATTTTGAAAACTTTTTCTTTCCTTTATGGTTGGTTAGGCCTCTATACAGAATTTGCCTGTACGCCAGTTGGTGTTTATATGAATTATAATCGATCACTAGTTAATGGTGCAATAACTAGTGTATAAAAATGATCTTCCAGAGGAAGATGAGTTGCAAAAATTCTGAAACTATATTGGAACTTGCGCAAAAACATGCTTAAAACAATTTTGAAAACTGAGAAAGAATCATTAAAATTCATTTAATAGTGAGTATGTTTCACATTATTTAGTGTATATACAATTGTTATATTTTTTTTTAACTAATTGCAAATATGTAAAATCATTATATGCATGTTCATCATATTAGTATGTATGTAAATTCAAAATAAAAGAATACACGAGAAAAAGCTGTTATCCGATGAGAGACCAACAGTTTGCCAATATCTTTGGATGGCAGCACTTGATTACAGAAAAGGCTATGCTATGTCGAGATACTAGATAAAACTTTCAATTTTAATATCAGTAACACATTTTTTTAGTTTTCTCTCGAGAAAAAAAATCGATGTATTTAACGAACAAAAAATTAAAAATATATTTAAATTAAAAAAAACACGTAAATTAAAATCTAGAAAACGTGAAAACTAGATATATATTTATCATTGTAAACATTTAAAGCTATTTTCATTTATCATTGTAAACAAATCTTTTTATCTCATTTATCATCATGAAGAAACAATTTTATCCGTCATTGTAAATAAAAATATTCTTATTCCGCTTAAAAGCACATAAACAAAGTTATTTGAATGAGGGAAGGTAAGGAGTCAATATCAATAATGCGCATATGAATGCAGCCAATTTTATTTTGTCGTCCGTTATATAGGGTGGCGTTCACCAAACACTCACGGCTGGTCTCCGCAAAAATACCGAGAGCTACGTAAAATACTCGTCGCGTTTTTAAGACGCCCACGAATGACTAGTCAAATAAATAAAAATATAAAATACATTATGCGACAACGAAAAAAATAGTTCTTCTTTTTTTATTAATTATTAATAATAGTCCGTTAAAGAAGCAATACATTTGTGATATACTGATAATATTTTAATATCTAACTAAGTAAGCGCGCGTTTTATCGGGAGAATGTTAAAGACTTTAAAAATAAAAAATGTATCAATATTAAGAATATATATTGAAACGAGTTCGTAAAAGTTGGAACAACTTTTGTAAACGACTAAAGGAATGTCAAAATTTTTAGATCGACAATATTTGTAATGACGAGGGTTCCTTCCTCTTCGTTCGTTTTATCCGCGATATTTTTTCTCGTGTTCCCATTTGTATTTCGATTGACGCTCTCGATTTTCGGCGGAAACCTTTACGGTGGATTCGCGTGGGAATATGGAGGACCCAGTCATCGCCTCGTGCGCGTATTCCGCGAGAGACGCGATTCACAGCCAAGAATCATGCGCGTGATTCATCGAGTATCTCACGAGATCAAGCTAGCCGACGACGCACGCTCGCTCACGCGCGCGCATCCGCGTTTCATTGAGGCGTGCGTGGATAGAACACGATAATTAACACAGTAATTAAAAAATCACAGAAATGCCATTAAACACGGACAGGGGCACCGTTGTCTCGCGGAAAGGGATAGAGACTCGGGCCCCGACGAGTTATCTATCACAATCGTAGATACTTATTAATGAGATTATACACATCATGAAATGTAATAAATAATTCGGAAAATCGCTAATATATATACTCATTTTTCTCTTTCTCTCCTATCTCTTCCTCTCTCGTTTTACATTTGTTTTCCGCATTCGTCGTCTTCATCCATCCGTCATCCTTTTCGTTCATCCTGAGCGGCTTGTGGGTTGGGTTTCCGTTTACTTAGTAATTCTTTCGAGGGAAAATCTATCGAAGCGACGGATGATATCCTCGAGATGACTTCCCGATTCCAGATGGGGCAGACAAGCACGATTCGCGAAGCAGTCGAGGGAGTCCAGACTACAGCCGGCACATCGGTTGCAACTGCACATCAATCCGTCGCCGCACACGCCCCACCTCTCGCTCGGACCACCGCACCTCTGGCCAGGGCCCTATAAAGCGGTGCGGCGACAATAAGAGCGCGACGAGATTTTTGTCTTTCGCAAATACTCAAATAGAAATTGATGCCAACGAGAAACATCGATGTTAAAGATTATATTTGTGAAATTTATATTAAATTTCGGAGAAGAAACTTGAAAAAGTATATAGAATATCCTAAAAAGTCGATGGATAATTGAATTTCTATTCTGTTTTCGGTTGTACGAATTAAATATTGAAATTTCATTCAACTTTGAAGCTGAACGCCAATTCCAAGAATAGTTTGGCAAGATTTTTTAAGAATATTTTTTTATGAAAATGTATCGTACATACAATTGTGCAATTGTGTTAATCGATGTTGTTACTTACTCGTCGGCATTCGGTGATACCGCAGAGAGCCGATATTACGACACCAAACTCGCATTTATCACACTCTTCGCCGCAGCCCACACACAGCTCTTGCCGGAATGTGGGATGAGCGTAGCACTTGCCGATTCTGAAACACAACATTAAGATTATATATTAATTGTAATTTATGTAAGACTTTATCTGTCACTGATCCATCTATATCAATACTTACAGGAAGATTGTGGCCAGAAAGGCGATCGCGTGAGTGAATTGAAAGGTAAGCATGATGATTCGCCGGTCTGAAACAGAGATACATTGACTCTTAATGTCTTTTTGACTACAACATTTTATATGAAATTGTATAAAATATTTAATCGGTAATTTTTATTTTAGATAATGCAAAAATGCATTTATATCTGAACTGTTTGTTATTTCTCTGCATATCACTTTTTTGTTATCTCTTCTTTTACCTATACAAATATCTCGTCAACTTAATGATTAAGACGAGCGATTCTTACGACTGGTTTAATAAATCTACGTATAGTTCTTCAAAAGGCGAAGCATAAATCGGAGAAAAAGAGCGAGAAAGAATAACGAGAAAAAGATAAAATTTACGCTAAATAAATTATTAAAACGCATTAATATTATGTACGATTTCTGCTATTTATGATAATGTCTTGCGTGGTTATTATTAAAAGTTTCATAAACTTTCTCACACATGTTTTCATCAAAGCTTGCTTTTGCTTTTATTTTTATATAATTTAGCATTATCAAAGCGCAGCCTTGTGTTTCATTGATTAGCTTAATGCTTAATTAACAATATGCCGTCGTATCAAACATCAATGTGAGTTTCATTTTTTATACCCATTCGACTTTTTCGATAGAAAATAATGCCGTTTTATAGAAAATAATCTGTTTTGTAGAAAAGATTTAATAATAGAATAACAATGAATAATTTATTTTATACGAGAGATGTGATTTGATTTTAATAATGAACCATTCTCTCGTAAAATCCCCATTATCGCAACACCATTGATGCGGATTATCTTTTCATTTACCGAGTTCAATCACCCCGCTTCAATGTCTTAGCATTACGCAAAGCAGTTCGACACGTCGGTCCAAATATCAAACTTCCATGAAATATCAAACATCCACGAAGTATCGACATCACCGTATCTCCGAGTCGAGACTTTTCATCGCCAGTACATGCTACTATGGTAGATCGGGTACGATAACGAGCTCCTTGAGATGTATATATCAAAATATATATTACAAAAAGAGATATATATATATATAAATAAAATTATAAAAAATATACAATGTTATTTGAAAAGATGTTGTTATTTTTAGGAAAATAAAAAAATTTTTTTATCCATCAAAAGATCATATATAGAACATACATTCATAGATTAAGAAACCAAATGAGCAGACTTTAGTGAACTCGCGAAAAAGAGAGAGAACACTACACACGAGAGATTCTTATAATACGCACTTTAGTCTTTAACTTAGCCACCTTGATAGCGATGGAATGAAGAATCAATCGCGTCAGCAATTATTAATTAATTAATTTTTCTATGATGATGTTTAATAATATGTATATCATTGTATTTGCGACTACATGATGTCTATTAAACCAGGCTATGATGATAATGATAAATATGATGATAATGCAGCGGCCGCGATGTGAAAGTCGCGGAAAAGCGTTCGCGCCGGCGACTCGTCTCGCGAATTAAACGGGCAAAACTGATGTCCCACATCGAGGATCCCCACTCTGCATATAGTAAAACGATTTAGCTGCAGCCTCCGTGACTTCACGGGGGCAAAGACTACCGACTTGAACCGATTCATCGATAATAAACAGAAACGCCCGCATCCAAACCAATTCAAATCCTCGTTTTGGGATCGTTCTTCGGATTATTCAGAAAATTATTATTTTTTTTTTTTTTTTTCAAGATTGCCAAGAGAAGTTAGAATAGTGCGAGATTTGAGGAAAATCCGTCCAAGATAAATTATAAAAATAATCAGACGATACCGGGAAAGTTGTCAGATTAAGCTAGAAAGCTGTGACGATCTTACGATGCGGTAAAAATGAGATAAGGAAATCAGGCATATACAAAAACCAGTTTAGGGAAAATTTTTTTTTTTTTTTTTTTTTTTTCAAGATTGCCAAGAGAAGTTAGAATAGTGCGAGATTTGAGGAAAATCCGTCCAAGATAAATTATAAAAATAATCAGACGATACCGGGAAAGTTGTCAGATTAAGCTAGAAAGCTGTGACGATCTTACGATGCGGTAAAAATGAGATAAGGAACATTTTAATTAACGATATTTGTCGTTTATACGCTAATAAATAAATAGCGATAATATATTAATATGTTTAGTTTCTCTTCTCGAAACATTGCAATATTCCATGTATAAATTGTGATAGTACAGAATTTATATCAGACAAATAAAGTACAACATCATATAAATATCATAATATACGTTGATTGCGGTTTGTGATTGTACTTACTTCACTTATAATTGTAACTATATGATTTTGCAGAATCTTTAGCGCTAAATAGAGATGAAATTTTTAAACTCTCTGGGTTCGTTGATCGAAAAATCACACCGTTTCTTGAAATAAAAATAACGAACAAATCTCTCCTGTTCTTCTGCTAATAATAAACACAAACATTTCACGCGGCCAAACACGACTTCCCATAAACATTCGTTCAAAAACAAGGAAACTGTTGGCTGACTCATAATATTGATAGACTATGGATCTCACGGCCTTCTTTATGTTTTTTTGTAAGCATATGAGTGTAACAATAAAAAAATGTATTGTTTATCTTGTATTGTTACATATAATCTTATTTTTGTCTGTCATTTTGTGAAGTTGTTGCATTCTTATCTTTATATACATATGTGTAGACTATTATTTTCGGACTCGCTCCACGCATAAAGAATAATAATATCTCTATAAAATATTGCAAAGGACTGAAAAAATATAATAAATATAATCTAACTATGATTCGACCTTGTAATTTCATAGTTATCTTCTCTTTAGATTTTTGAAGCCTCTACCGCGAGATAAACACATGATCGTTATACATTATTTACATGATTTTGCAACAAAACGTTGTTATATTTTTCACGCGAGTCCTTCTTCAGAATATGATTATTTGTGTGTCAGTATGTCTAGCGATTCTAATATCACGTAGCAACGACGTGTCGACGAATGTACAATCGGCGTGTTTTTGCAAAAATTGCATTACAATAAGATAATGGAAATGTAGATACGGCTGGCGCCTTGCGAAATATTTTGTCTCGGGCAGATCCGGTCGCAACTATATTTGGTTTAATATTCGACGATCTTTTGTTCCCCACACAAACGCAGAGATATCTTTTTCGGAGCGAGTGCGATCGACGATTATTTGTCGAGACGTTACATCTTTATTGTGGGTCACTGCGTCGAACCGCGAGTCTTTCTAAACTCGCTGCGAGACAACGTAAAATTAGCTTCCCAGACGGCGACTGGCCGATTCTCCCTCGATGTGAGCGAAAACATGCGTACCACGAGAATCGGGTCAATGACACGTGAAATATGCATCTTCAAGGGTCGGACATTCAGATTTCATATTTTTAATTGATATAATTTATTATGTCAAGAAAAATGAGAAATAAATACTGTGCAAATAACGATGCAAATACGTCCCACGTTTAAGAAACCCCTGCAAATAACATTACAATTATAGATATAAATGTCCAACTACTGTTTATTTTCGTGACACTGTGTTGCACCGGAATTAGTTTCACGTGGTCGTGAAAATTGTCAATAGTCACCACGCAATCATCGGTACTAGGAACCAGCGGAATCATCAACTATAATAATCGTCGCTTTCTGCGTCTGTAGTGAATGACGCTCGTCGCCAGACAATGAAATTCAGCACGCGGAATTCTCATTGATGTTTCGCAGATATTAACTCCTTCTAATTTAGTTTATTGCGCGAAATAATTTTTCAGTTTATTTATAGATTTAATAATTCTTTTATGCGAATGCGCAAATTTTCATATCATCATTTCATGCGCGTGATATGAATATTTGCAATATTACAGAGTAAAAAAAAAAATTTATAATAAATTTGTAAATAACACATACTGCGTGTGTGAAATATTGTCTCTTTTTCTCTTGATAATATACTATATACTACATCGAAAATGAACGAAGTAAAAGAGAGAGAGAGTTTGCAAAATTTAATATATTTGATAAGATTTTTGTATTATTTGTGTGTGTGTGTGATAGCAAAATTATATAAAATCATAACTTTACTTAATAGATATAAAATCATAAGGTTTTTAGCAATCGCGTCATATTTAAAAAAATAATGATCTTTACGAATCCGATGGACTAAAATATAAAATATATAGATAGGAAATAAGAAAGTTGATCTGTAGAAAATGTTCATTTATACAATAATTTCGAAACATATATGAGACTTTTAAAAATTATCACTATGACAACTCATAATCTATAGGAAGCCGAAAACGTGAATGGTCTCATAGAGCCGCGCGTTCGCCACTCAACCGGATCGGACGAGGGCCCACGCGTATTCCGCACAGAAAGATACACAGGAAAAATCCGTGAGGGAATTTTCGCAGATCGGAAAACGCGTCTGACGCGACATCGCGCCTCTGCTCGCTAAGAATAGCCGAAGAAATTTGCGTTGCTCAACACCGATGCCAAATTCTCCCTCTCCAGCTCTCCCTCGCCCTCCTCTCTCCACTTCCGTTCACGTTCTTTCTCTCTCTATTTGCACCTTCCTCACCTATCCTATCTTTCCTCCTATTTTTATCTTTGTATATCTTTCCTTTATATACTCTTGAATTTTATTTTTCCTCTCTTTGTTCGGTCTATTTCTTGTTTTCTATAACGATCATCGTGTTTCTTCTCTCTTGCGCCATTATCTCCTCCCTAGCTCTCTCGTTTTCTATCACATGCATGTACGCACGCACACAGTTCGCCCTGTCTCGTTGCTCCGCTGATACAAAGACCGACAGGACGGTCAGTATCGTACCAGTTAGCATTCATTTTGGACGTGTGATCTAAGAAACGGCAGCGGCATATTCATTCCACAGTGAGATCCTGAAGAGACGCGTCCCTTGAAAGTGAACTCGGATTCTGATAATACTGAAGAACTATTAGAGAATTTCGAGGGACTGCGAGGGAATTTCTTCGGTTCTCTCGGAGTTTGCGATTTACTTGTGAAGAATTGAATACGCTTTCTCCGTCGTAGTTTGATAGTAAGTATTATTGACATTTATTCTAGCAATCGAAAGCATATTATTGAAATTAAATTTGTTAAGTATTAAAATGTAATCGCATTATGTTAAAATAGAGGTCTTTTATAATTATATAATATTTTTATATTAGTAAGAGTAGATTAAACCTTTCTCTTTTGACAGCGATTTTTTAAATCTTGGTAAATCTTGATCAAGTATAAAGATCAAAAAGAGTCAATTAAAAAGTAAACTGATAATAACAAATTATTATTTAAAAAGAAATTTGATGATAAGTCAAGAGTATAGATACGTGTGTCGGAAGAGGGAAATGCATCATAAGACCCGATTGCATCGGATCTGCGATGATTGCATATTTAGAAGTTTCTATCATATGTTTGGAGCTAAATGCGGTATCTGATTCTGCGTCTTATTTACTTCATATACAGATAGCTTTTGATGCAGACGTGAAACAACAGTTAAGTGGATCCGTTTTAATGTTAAATATGCTCTGAGAGTGAAATATATACTCCATCTCTGTTTCTTTATCTCTGTTTAATTTTTTAAAATATAAAACGCGGAGAATAAAAGTTTCTAAATTTTTAACAAAAATAATAGAATAAAAAATGTATAGACTTTGAAACTAAGATTGTACTTATTTTTGGCTATAAAATTCAGATGCGAATTGTAACGTGTTTTCGCTATATGTTAACGATTCGAGATCAGTATATTTTCTCGATGCGCGTGCTTCTGTTTTCAGATTTTCATGAATCAAACTCGTCGAGCAAACATGTTTACAATCAATGTTGACATCACGGGAATTTTGTTTCGCCTGGGCCGAGATATTATTTGATATTAACCACAAAATGCGATTTCTAAATTTTGCGCCAAATGTGCCACGTTGCCTTTGCGGTGGCTAACATGTGATCATTATCGAATCATCTGACATCGCATGTCTTTCGACGTGCATTACCGCAAATGTTGCAATGTACACAAGAACCTCGTGAAAGAGGCGAGAAAAGCTGATTTATAAATAATATAACAGTTAATATTTCAGAAATGGACTATATATGCATAAAAGAAATTTGTCATAAATATTCATGAAATTGCAAAAAATTACAGCAATTAAGTTTGAGATATTCGACAATAATTTTGTAATTTATAATCGGGCAACTTTTTTACGAGAAAGATGGACAGATTTCCACGTATCGAGAATAAATCAGTCGGAAAAAGATAATCTGTTTGATTATCGTCTCGGTTGCCCGCAGACGTCGAAAAATATGGCCCCTGACTCGAGAAGCAACAAACGCCATGCATACCAGACTTTGAATAAACGTATAGAGAGAAAGAAACAGGATGGTCGGTGTAAATCGTGAGCGCAAAACGGAAGCATTGCTTTTCCAAGAGAGAGAGAGAGAGAGAGAGAGAGAATCATATGTTTGGAGCTAAATGCGGTATCTGATTCTGCGTCTTATTTACTTCATATACAGATAGCTTTTGATGTAGACGTGAAACAACAGTTAAGTGGATCCGTTTTAATGTTAAATATGCTCTGAGAGTGAAATATATACTCCATCTCTGTTTCTTTATCTCTGTTTAATTTTTTAAAATATAAAACGCGGAGAATAAAAGTTTCTAAATTTTTAACAAAAATAATAGAATAAAAAATGTATAGACTTTGAAACTAAGATTGTACTTATTTTTGGCTATAAAATTCAGATGCGAATTGTAACGTGTTTTCGCTATATGTTAACGATTCGAGATCAGTATATTTTCTCGATGCGCGTGCTTCTGTTTTCAGATTTTCATGAATCAAACTCGTCGAGCAAACATGTTTACAATCAATGTTGACATCACGGGAATTTTGTTTCGCCTGGGCCGAGATATTATTTGATATTAACCACAAAATGCGATTTCTAAATTTTGCGCCAAATGTGCCACGTTGCCTTTGCGGTGGCTAACATGTGATCATTATCGAATCATCTGACATCGCATGTCTTTCGACGTGCATTACCGCAAATGTTGCAATGTACACAAGAACCTCGTGAAAGAGGCGAGAAAAGCTGATTTATAAATAATATAACAGTTAATATTTCAGAAATGGACTATATATGCATAAAAGAAATTTGTCATAAATATTCATGAAATTGCAAAAAATTACAGCAATTAAGTTTGAGATATTCGACAATAATTTTGTAATTTATAATCGGGCAACTTTTTTACGAGAAAGATGGACAGATTTCCACGTATCGAGAATAAATCAGTCGGAAAAAGATAATCTGTTTGATTATCGTCTCGGTTGCCCGCAGACGTCGAAAAATATGGCCCCTGACTCGAGAAGCAACAAACGCCATGCATACCAGACTTTGAATAAACGTATAGAGAGAAAGAAACAGGATGGTCGGTGTAAATCGTGAGCGCAAAACAAAGAAGTGTTGATAGAAAGAGAGAGAGAGAGAGAGAGAGAGAGAGAGAGAGAGAGAGAGATCAATCTTTACGAAGATCTTCGTGAAGAAAATTTTTCGCGGTCAGAAATAGTTTGAAGCGTCCAATATAGAGAAGCGAGTAGAGATGCAGAAGACTTAAAGATCTACGTAGATAACTTGCCAAAGCATGTCGCGCGAACGATTTTTGGCTGCACTGAGCGACTTGAGCTCTCAATGTAGTTCTTCTGGCATCTCGAGCTTGTCATTAAGCAATTAACCGGATTTATAAATTCGCGATTAACTCGCAATTAATTGAAATTTATCTTCGAAATTAACTGAACAAAATTCTTAGTAATATAATATTTATTTCGACCATTTTTATTTTGTAGCCTAATATTTGATATTTTTTTCGTTCTTGAAACAATGATATCTAATTAATATTTAATTAATCTAAAAGTATTCCCTAAAAACTTTAAATATAATTAGACTCTTCTTCTGATCTAACATTTCATTTTTGTCATTTGTTGCGTTTAACGCGACATTCCCGAATTAGATCTTTTATCGATTTTAAAATTTAATGCAAATTTTCAGGAGAAAATACATTAATAAATAGAGATAAATTAATAGAGATATTTTTGTTTAATTTTTCAGGACGGCTTGGAGATGGGGATGATAGCGCGAGTAAGGCGTCGAGTCCGCGCGAACTCGTTGACAGTTGACAAGGAAAAGACAGCGCAAAGTGTCTGTCTTCTAAGCGCGGTCCTTCTTCTGCCCTACTGTCCGCGCGGTCCATTGCCGCTTTTACCATCGCCTGCGCCAGTCTTGTATTCAGCTCTCGTATTGCCAGTGGTCCTAAGCGCGAATTATAGGTACCCGGTCCCAACCCTGAAGACTCTCGCCGAAGCGGTCAAAGGTATAACGAAAAAATAGATAGTTTAACGTTACGTTCAACCTCTCTTTTTCTTTTTTTTTTCCACTTTAATTATAACTTTTTGATTTTATCTTTTAATCTTTTAAATATTTTAATGAAAAAGAAGATGTCTAAAAGATTATTTTGTATTTAGATTTAATCTTTTGATTCTACATAGAAGCAAGAACTCCAAGAAGTGCAAGAACTTTATTACTTTTTTATTCTTTTTTGAAATTAAAAATTAATCCTTGACGATTATTATCAGTATATGATTTGTTTCTAAGTTTTGAGTTTAGCACCGGTTAAACTTGAAGTTAATATATAATTATCTAAAAAAATAAAATAATTTTTTAATTATTATATACAATCCAAAGATTAAATCTATGAATGTAAAATATAATCTCTTTTGAAACTTTTCTTTTCTTCTCTAGAAAAAAATTTAAATATATAGATATCCAAACAAATCTTGAATCATAAATAATATACATTTTCAGAGTATAATCTAGGTTTAAATTCTATCTCAGTAGTGTACGACAGTAGTGTCGTAGTATCTCAGTATTCGCAAAATATCAACGGGATATAACGAACATATCCGAGATATAATAGAATGTCGGAATAGAATATCGTACACACACTCTCTCTCTCTCACAATCAGTGCAATAGCCCCATTCCCTCTGTCTATCTTTCTCGCTCGTACTTATCAGAATCAGCTGGTAACAAGTTCGCAATTATTTACGTAAAGCACGCCCTGTCACGTTATTCAGCAACTTGTCATCCTTTGGATAAAACCCCTAACGGGGGGTTGGTCGCCACTGTTCGGATCCATCTCCGGAAAATCACTCACAATGACACGCTCTCGTATCGTGTACTGTGCTCTCTCTCTCTCTTTCTTTCCTCTTCGAGGAATGAAAGATGAGCCTGATGATGAGAAAGAACGGAGGAGGATCTTTTCGCGACGAACGCATATCAATGTGTTCTTATGCGTAATAATAACGAGATGTCGCGTGTCTGCGCGTTTCTTTTTGCTCGCCTCCGCATGCTCGTCGGTGCGAACGTTAATGATAATCTTCCCTAATAATTATGCGGACGGCTATAAACGTTTTTGTTCGATCGACGAAGAGCTGCACGATATAACTTTTGAGAATTGCCTTCGTCACGTGCTCGATCTCTGTGTATCTATAAAATATGGAAGTCGATTAAAACGCGGGTTTACGATCGCTTGCTTCGATCATCTGTGATAGTTGTCAACCGGTAGATATAAATAGCCAGGTAAACGTTTTTGTATAAAGACGAGAATAAGACCAATATGAAAATTGAAGTCATCGGTCTGCGTTAGTTACTTCATCATGTAAAAAAATTACTCTTTTCATGTCGCGTTTCTTAAGTTATAATTTGGAGGTATATATTAAGAAACTTTCTTCAAACGTTGTTATTTAAAAGTATAAATAAATTACATTGATTATACCTCTTCTTGAAGAGGTGTACTCGAAGTTTACATTTTCGGATTATAATTCCGATCTTGATATCTCTAAAGTGTGATGTGAGAAACGGATTTTGAAAATCGATCGTACAGACTTCATTAATTTTATCGCCTGTTCATTAAGACTCCTTCCAATCCCCGTACATTTATATATAAAGAAGAGCCCTCTTTTTTTAAAATTCTTATATAAGTCAGTTCCTAATATTATGAACATAAAGTAAATTCGAATCTTTTTCATTGTACAATATCACAAGCATGGCGATATTATTGTTGAAGGCGGAGCGAAGAAAGCCTGGCAACCCCTGAACTGTTTCTTGAAACGGTTGTACGGGCCGGTGGATCGCGCGGAGAATCTCTTCCTGAAAATGCGAAATTTCTCCGTGATGGCGAATCAGATAGTGTTCCTGATGCTGGCCGATAAGGTGCTGCTGCCGCAACAGAGACTGACTTGCCTATACACGCTCATGTTCTACAACGTGATAGCCTACTGCGTGAGCTACATCAAGGAGCTAATTCAGAAGGAGGACTGGTCGCCGTACGTCACCCTGACCGAGCGGTCAAAGATAAAACATCTCGCCATGTCGGCCACCAAGATCGTGCTCGAGTGGACCAAAGCAGTTACATTCGTTGTCACGTTGACCTTCATGCTCCTCGTGTTCGGATTGGAACAAGGCCTCGACCATTACAAGTGAGTAACTCCATTGTTCGTTACATGTAGCAATTAACAAATATTACAATTGTCTTTTTCCTTATAATTGCTTCCGTTGGTCATCTAATTAATGTGACCAAATGTGCTTAACATCTCATATTCAGATCAATGTGAGAGATAATAATTTCCCTCATTTCTGTTATTATTTCGTTTATTATAAAAAGAATTAATAATCTAGATTTGTATGTATACAGGGTTTTAAAAAAGGGTAAAATATTGTAAAGGGATTTAATATACTCAAAAACAAGTCGAAAAGTCTTAATAAACAAGCTGTGTTATTTTGGGGCATACTAAATCTCCTAAAAATATTTTATCTTTTTTTTTAAACTTGTATTTAAATTTCTTAATTATTTAGTATTCTAATGCGTACATTGTAATGCGTTAATATTTATATGCGTCTCGCAGACCCTCGTTGATCTATTCGGTGATTACATGGATCTATTACTCGGCAACGGAGAAGGTCTTCGTGGAGATGTTCCCGACGATTTTGGGCTTCTTGCAGTTAGAAGCGCTGGAGAATATCGAGAATCTATATGCGCCGGTGATACTTCGCTGTTTCACAATTGTCATGTCGGCAATCTTCAGCATTCTGCTGTTGCCATCAGCCTCCTGGAGGTTCCTGATGGTCGCCACATATCTCAATGTATATCTAAGGTGGAAGGAACTAATGCAGAATTCAGGCGCGGTGCTGCGGCGAGAACGCGAGCTGTTGAATAGATACCGGAAGGCGACCATCGAAGAGCTCGAGAGATTCGACGATGTGTGCGCAGTGTGTCTGTGCGGGATGATGAAGGCCAGAGTGACGCCCTGCCATCATCTCTTTCACGCGGACTGTTTGCGACAATGCCTCAAGACGAGCGACAAATGTCCCATGTGCAAACGCGAGCTCAAATTCGACTAAACGACAAGAAGGAATATTCTTTTGATCGTCTCCAGAGATTTATAAGGCTTTCGAAACATACCGTCGAAGATGATGAAGAAAGAACGTCTCGAACATTTAGGATGACGCTTTTATGTTTAAAAGATTTAGAGACGCCCTTTATACGTTTGGGTATAAAAGATTTACGACGTCGTTGGTGCCCAAAGGATTTACGACATTCTTTACGATATCTAAAAGAATCGGGAGAAATTCTTTTAGACACAACTTATATTGCCCGGGGAAGGAATCAGTGAAAGGAAGAAGCTTGCGATATTATAGAGCATGGATAATATTCGCAACGCTTGGAATGCATGTTCCTTTAGAGATTACTGTGATATAGATCAGCAGCACTGGATAGCTTAGAATTATACACCGGACATACATTTTATTATCATGTCGATCAATTCGTGGCTGAGCTGACACTCGTAATTCGTAACTTTAATGTAACTGGCGAATGGAAATACGCTTACTTTGTATTACTATTTTTCGTTAATGTAGTAGCGTTGATGTAGTATCGATCGAGAATAAATTGCGAACTACGTCGTTTATATGCATATCTGTAAAATACTCTTTTTGTGTTGCAAAGTATACTATACTCTATCTCCACTTTTCTCCTTTTATGAATTTAAACAGCTTTGTTACAATATCTCATGGAAAATTATTTTGCAAGATTGTTGATAGAATTAGTGGAATTTAAAATGTTGCAAAGTTTTGTACTCGCTATAATTTGGTTTTTAAAACAAGTGATAAAATAAACTTGTAAATCATATGACGTATGCAATTAAGATTAAATAATATTATATTTCTCTGTAAAATAAGTTTCTATAATTTACATTTATCTCATATTTGAGATAAAATATAGTCTAATAAAAATCCATCCTTTCAAAATTTATAGCAGATGGAATAAATCCTTATTCTATTAAAATTCTCAATATATTAAAATATGCGTTTTTTGAAATAATTTGTTACATATTTGAGCAATAGATCTTTTAGGGTGAAAAAAAAAGAAAGAATATTTTTCCTTTCTTCTTATATTAGATCTACCTTATATTTGCTATTGCTTCCTATATTCTATTAAGCTTATATAACATTTATAAATGTGTAAATCCATATTTCAATGGATGATCTGAAAATATATGCTTTATTTACATACAAATTTTCAGAGTGTAATTCGTTCTCCATATACAGCAACAAATCTCTCATTCCTCTCCATCATATTTCCGAGTTGTGTCTATGTATTCTCCATCTGGGCTATCATAATTTTCTATTGCTGGCGTTTTTAACGAACCTTTGGCTATATGTGGCAAGAGTCCTAAATCTACCTAAAAATATAAATGTACATCATGGATTAAATTGTATTACCAAAAATAGAATAATAATGCAAATTTTATAATTTCCTCAATAAATTAAATAATTAATTACTTGTATCGCTTCTCGATATAATTCTTCTGATTCTGCTTTAAGTTCGTCAAGTGCTCTCTGTTGCGAACATAATATAGAATCTATTGCCTGAACATCAGTTAAATGCTGTATAGTTTTGTATCTAGTCCACTCCTTTTGCAGTAAGATTCTAGATTCTTTTTCCTTCTTTGATAGACAAAGCAATCGCAATCTTTGTCTGAAATTAATTTCTACAATTAGTATTATATATACATAATTAATATAAAATTAAAACACATCACTAATTATATTTGTCTCATATATAATTAATTTCAAATAATAAGTTTTCAACATAAAAAGAGAGAGAAAGAGAGACTTACGGTCTTTCATCTATTAACTTAAGTGGTACTTCTATCTCAGGAATTGGTTTCAGTTGTCTGGCAACCTTCTCTAACCTACGAATTTGTTTTTCTATCTTTTTTTTTCTCCTTTCCTCTCGTGCTCTGATAATCGCAGGATCTAATCTTTTCTTTTTTTTCAACGGTTCTCCCCTGCAGAGAAAATTAAAGTTACAGTATAATTATAGTACATGTATAATTGACACTGCAAATATTACAATGATATTTTGACAAGATTTACCACTTACATGAGCGCATTACTGACCCTGAAGTACAATGGATTTGTACATGCCGATATATTTCGAATACCGGGTATAATATGTGTAGATAATCTGAAAAGAAAGTAAATATATTTAATGAATGTCTACATATCAAACTTGTAACACAGATATTTCTAATACAATTTCGGTTAAATTATACCATTAGCAAATTCTCAACAATTGTTGGTTAGTTGGTTATTGTTAATTATTTGGATATTATTATACAAATAATTAAAGTGAGGGAGTCATAATTACCGTGAAAATACAGGCAATAAATTAAAAACATTCATGTTTGTAGGATAAATTCCTTGCTTTTATACAAACTACTACTCCGATAAAAATGTTACAATGTCACTAGATGATAGTAGTAGCAGTACTGCCATCATCAAAATTTATAAATTTACTAACTATTAAAATTTCTAGCGTGTGCATCAGTTTGACACTACAAAAGTTTCCAATCGTTTGATTGGCCAATCAGGACAAAAAGAGAAAAAATTTATTTTCTCTGATCAAGCAAACTTCAAAACGCTTCAAAATTTTCGTAGTGTCAAATGAAACGTATCCATTGATCGCAGTTCTCACGTGCATCGTTACTTAGCAACCGTTTGACATTACATTGAATAGGATCATCGCGAGTATCGTACATCTACATATTGGGCATGATTAAAAAGAAATCTCACAATGACGGACGGAGTGCGAACCGAAATGATAAAGAAAACACAAGATCAGCTCGGAAAATATTTCAAGAAGCCACCGTTAACCGAGAAATTGCTCCGAAAACCGCCGTTTCGTTTCCTTCATGATATTATAACGGCTATTATTAAAGAGACAGGTTTCTTAAAGGGGTTGTTCACTGATGAGGAGTTAAATTCGGATAACATAAAAGATAAAGAAGCAAAGCTTGCCTTCTTGACAAAACTCATTGATGTTGTCAGTGAGTAACTTTATTATGTTATCACATTTTATCGCTATAATAAATATATATGTAAATATTTAATGTGTTCTAGAATTAATTTCGGGTGCTAATTTAACAGTCAGAGCAAGTAAGATAATTTCCGGACAAGAGCCGACAAAGACAAATGAATTGCTGCAAGCTATTGGAAAATCCCTTGACAAAAAAGTAATATATTTTTAGATAGAGAGACTTTTTTTAAATGTAAAATAATAGCATATCTATTATGTTAGGTCAGTAGCGCAGAAGCGATCGAGCATTATAAAAAAAGTTTACAGAAGAAAACAAAAACCGAGTCAAAATCGAAATCTACGATTAAAGAGGAAACTTCAAAAAAGCCCGCACCAAGGCAGGCATCGCAAACGAGAAAATCGTCGGAGAAAGATAAAGTCTCGACGGAGCGAAAGAAAAGATCGTCTAGCACAGGGAAAGTAGTATCGGGTGAAGCAAAGAGCATCAATGAGAAGCCCAATGAGAAAGGAAGAAAAGAGAATAACAAAAAGGGAAATTTGAAAAATGTTGAAGCCATAGATATCCCACCGGCTGAGGTAAAAAAAAAAAAATTTAAATCTTGCTTAATTAAATATTGCTAAAATTTATGGAGTAAATTGTGCCAACTTATTAGACAGAATTGAAAAAGATTTGTTTTTTTCTGCACTATTTAAAATTCACAAAGTACTTACTGAAGAAAAACAAAAAAAAAAAAAAAAAAAAAAAAAAAAAAAAAAAAAAAAAAAAAAAAAAAAAAAAAAAAAAAAAAAAAAAAAAAAAAAAAAAAAAAAAAAAAAAAAAAAAAAAAAAAAAAAAAAAAAAAAAAAAAAAAAAAAAAAAAAAAAAAAAAAAAAAAAAAAAAAAAAAAAAAAAAAAAAAAAAAAAAAAAAAAAAAAAAAAAAAAAAAAAAAAAAAAAAAAAAAAAAAAAAAAAAAAAAAAAAAAAAAAAAAAAAAAAAAAAAAAAAAAAAAAAAAAAAAAAAAAAAAAAAAAAAAAAAAAAAAAAAAAAAAAAAAAACCATCTCTTAATTCTAGAATTCAAACAATTCGTTTTTCGAAAACATGTACTTTAAATTATATGTTTCATTTAATATTATTTATTTTTATTATATTCAGCCAATCGAGGATAAAGTTTCTATTTCGGCGCAAAAAAGAAGGCCTTCTTCATCTGCTAAAGTGAAGCAGAATTCTATAATCTCAGCTGAATCAATGAAAGAAGAACAAGTACAACATCAAAGTTCTTCAAGTAAAATAAAACGTTCAGCGCAAGTAAATGGCTCGCAAGAGAAGATAGCGAATCTACCCTCAGAAACATCTCTTAATAATGAAGAACAAAATAAATTAGAAACGAGCAATTATAACAAAGAAACTAAGAAAAATGGAATATCGGAAGAAACTAAAGAACGTCAACAGAGTGCTGAGAAGAGTGAGCAAATGCCAATATCAGAACTTGCAGGCTCTCAAAATCAAACTACTGAAATGACGTAATGTATTCAAATTTATAAATTGAATACATGAATTTCTTACTGATAATATATATACATATATATATGGTAGATATATTTAACTTGATGCTTGTTTCAGCGTTTTGCAGCAATCCAACACAAGGCCTAAAACCTCCTTAAGACCGCCTAGCGCTAGACCTATCAGTGCTAGGCCAGCTGCTCCCAGGATGAGAGCAAAGACAGATTTCATTGTCAATGAGGAGATACAGTAAGACGGTGATACAATATTTATTTTGTAAGGAATTATTTATATTAAAAGTATAATATTAATTTACGATTTATAGGACACCAATTGGAAATATCAGTGTTATTGTAGAGAACGCTGATTTGAAGGATGACGACGATGCTGAAGATATGGTAGTCGTGGAAACTAAGGGAAGCAGTGGCGACAATTTAGAGAATGGAGATTACAAGATAGATAATCAGCTGATGCAGGAGCACGGGCATCTGGTGGCACAAATCTTAGAGACCCAAAGGGAATTGGTCAACACTGATAATGTTGATGTATTACCGAAGAAAGTGGACATTGTAAGAAGTATTGAAATATGCTATTTCTACATTTTTGTGCAGTAATTGCTGTTGTATTTTTTGCAAAACGTTGAATAGTCCGTTATCAAATATATTTGATTATAGGCGTGGGAATCTGGTTCGAAACGTGATCGAGAAGCAGCAGCTAAGGAAATTGACAAATTACGTGGAACTATACAGACGCTGACGCGTGCGACGAATCCTCTAGGGAAATTGTTAGATTATGTACAGGTAGTATGTTATATGCATACTTTTACACAGTAGTCAACATTTTTTTACAAAATCCTATTTGATATCAGGAAGATGTAGAAATGATGCAGAAAGAACTATTGGACTGGAGAAGCCAGTATCGTCAATTAAGTGAACAATTGGAAAAAGAAGAAAAGTATGTACACATAAAACTATATAATAAAAATATATACATATAAAACTTGCAATATAAGCAGTCTTAGTAATTCTTTAATTTGTAATATGAAAATTAATATTAATTAATTAATATTATTTAATTAATAATGTAATGAGAATTCTTATTTCAGAGAAACAGAAGAGATGATAGAGCCTATGAAAGGAACATTGAAAGAAATTGATGATAACATTAAGATTCAATTGGACAAGATACGTCAAGTAAAGGCACAAATTATGAAAAATGATCAAAAAATTCATCGATTACTTAATGGTAATTTATAATGCGCGTATATTATTTACTGCTGTGTATTAGACTGTAAATATATATATCTTTACAGACTCTGTTGAAAATATATAATTAACTATTTTTCATTATAAATTATATAGCTCAGATATAAAAAATATTTTATGTACAACATGATTTTATTTATCTGTTATATCATTGTAGCACTTAAAGATATAACATTTGTGTATTTCTTGTAAATATTTATATATATTTTAGAATATAGATAAAACTTTTGGAAATCTGAATGTTATGTGTATAATCTGTGTTTTCCTCAAAGCTTTAATACAACTTACCTACTTTTACCATATCCAAAACTTTTCTTTTTAAGATTAACATTTACATCTTATTAAATTTCATATTTATTTTGCAACTCTGTAACTTCTTCCTCAGATATCTTCTCTGATGTTTTACAATATGAGAACATGAGCTTCAAATCTGAAAGTATTTTAAGTTCCATATTACTAAACTTTCTAAATCAGTTATGAAAAATAAGTGTATATCATTATATAATATTATTATATATAATACCTTGCTTTTCTATGTTACTGATAAACATAATGAGAGCTCTAAATCTTTTAACATCACTGAGATTCTTTAAATATAGAAATATAGGTTCTTTCCGTTTCATAAACTCTGTTTTGAGTATTGCTAAAATATCACTAAAAATATCACTTTCCATTGAATCTTGAAATATTTTTGATAAGTTATTCGATGGTATTTGCTAAAAAAAATTGATTTTGCTTTAAATTCTTGAATATGGATCATATTTAATGTATACAAAGTTTATTAATTACCTTTAAATATCTGTATCGAAGATCAGATGAAGTATTTCTTCTCCAGTTTATTACGAATTGGACTGCGGTTTTCGGGATGGGGGATATTTCCATATTTTCAATGAGGTTTGCTTCTGGTTTAGGTTTTGTAATATTTTCTTTATGCTTTGTATTATCAAACTCTATATTTAATAATTCTTGATGCTGATTGTTATTGCATGATGCTTTAATTTCCTTTTCTAAAAGGAAATCATGCTTTCCCTTTCCATAAGGTTTAGTTAAATCTGCCTCTTGCACAGGTATTCTTATTAATGGTTCCTAATTAATAGTAAAATGTAGTTACATTGCACAAATACTGTATGACATTATACTGTATGATATTAATGCAAACTTACTTTTGAACGTAAATGGGGAGGTTTTTCAATAGGTTCTACAACTGCAACATCATCTTTTTCTAGTAGCCAATCTGGAATGCGTGAATCTCTCTTTGATTCTGTTAAACTTACGGTTGTTGATTTTGCAATAGCTCCTACGTTATTTACACTATTCTTTTTATTTTTATCCTCCTTAATATCAATTATTTCTTTATTTGATTTTACATTATCAAACATCTTCTCAGCAATTTTTTTCTCCATTGGTATATTTTTCGCTGTGTCTTCACCAGATATAATAATCGGCTAAAAAATAAATAATATGTATCAATAAATATTAAATTCAATAATAAAAAATACATACTTTTAAGTTTTCAAGTCGCTTATTAATTTGGCTAAGCAAGGTCTTTGCTTCCTTATTGGAAGGTTCCAATGTCAACATTTTTTCTATGTCTTCCTTTGCCTCTTTATACTGTTTCAATTCTATTCTGGCTGTTGCTCGTCTGTGATAAGCTTTGACATAAGTCTTGTCCAATTGTATCGCAGATGAACAATCTGCTTCTGCTGAATACAAGCTGTAATATAATGCATTCAATAATTATGTAAATTATAGAAATTAACATGATTTGAATTTATTAAATTTTCAAGGCATAAGATTTACTTGTCTTGCTTTAAATAACAAAGTGCACGATTGGCATAAAATATAGCATCGTAAGGAAAAATTTTTATTGCCTCGCTGTACGAGGCAATTGCTTTATCCCATTTCTTCTGTTGCACAAAAATATTGCCTTGATTTTTGTGTTCTAATGCTTTGCTGTGATCCTTTTCCAATTCCTCTTTAGACATGGTTTCATCCGAGGAATCATTGGATTGTTCGTCTTCATCTAATTCCTTACACGCTTTGTCCTTTGTTACAATAATAATATTAATCTTTTTCAAATGTTTCCCCAACAATTCTAAACCAGGAACTTGCATGATATATAACATAAATATCACTTACAATATCAAATTTCTCCCATGATGCATAATCATAAGACTTTATTCGTTTGGAATTTTCAGTCTTTTTACTTTCTTTTATCATGCATTTTTTCTTGTTTCTACTTCTGATTGGAGGCAGAACTTTCTGGAATATATATTATATATCTTATATCACACACATTTAAATAAGTTAAATGTATTATCAATATGGATTACAATATTTGCCAACATTTAATACTATACATAAATATAAAATCTAAAATTTAAATATCTTAATGATTTTAGAACAAACTTGTAATATGAATGTATAGTTTAAAATAATTTATATGGTTATAAAGATTTTACATCTATGTTGTAATATTATTCATTTAATAGAATTATTCTTTTATTATATATATTTTTTAACATACAATAATATATTATTGCATTTGTTGCATTATTAACTTTTTGTTTGCTAAAATACCTGTCCAGTGCGTTCATTCAGTAGTTCTTGTTCCTTTCGTTTCATTTGCTCTTCCCAATTTTTCAAGTCCAAAAACTCGCTTTGTAAATCCTCCGAATTGTCCTTTACCTGCTTTTGCATCAAGATAGATTTATCAAGTTCCATGATAAAAAAAGAATTGCTTTGTATTGTATTTCATATGCCGACAATATATTAGAGGTTATAATTGTATAGCTATCAACAGAAATTGACAGAAATGAAATGCGCACAATCTAACCGGAAATAAGTTGGCGCTGGAAGTTCATATTTTTTATTAAATAACAGTACAAACGATTGCTCCTTAATTGCTCCGTCAGAATCCACAATTGCTCCTCTTTTAAAATTAATATGCATTATTAACTTTTTGTTTGCTAAAATACCTGTCCAGTGCGTTCATTCAGTAGTTCTTGTTCCTTTCGTTTCATTTGCTCTTCCCAATTTTTCAAGTCCAAAAACTCGCTTTGTAAATCCTCCGAATTGTCCTTTACCTGCTTTTGCATCAAGATAGATTTATCAAGTTCCATGATAAAAAAAGAATTGCTTTGTATTGTATTTCATATGCCGACAATATATTAGAGGTTATAATTGTATAGCTATCAACAGAAATTGACAGAAATGAAATGCGCACAATCTAACCGGAAATAAGTTGGCGCTGGAAGTTCATATTTTTTATTAAATAACAGCTCAGACGATTGCTCCTTAATTGCTCCGTCAGAATCCACAATTGCTCCTCTTTTAAAATTAATATTTTTTTAAATATTTACAAAAAATTTATCATTTTCACTCAAAAACATATTTCCAATAGTTTTCTGCAACTATATCTAGCATAAAATCATGTTATATAACTGCAATTTTGTATGAGTGGGAAATTACAACTAACGTGAATGTTACATGTAACAAATACGTTATATTACTTGTTACATTCCGTTTTATTATGGCAATGTTACAGTTATGTATCTGTGTTTGCTGGGTTGTCTTTTTTTATAATAGATTTATAATAAAAATAACTATCTTGTTTGTTTAAATAAATAAATACTCAAAATTTATATATATGAAATCTTTATTTTACATGTATGGTATAGAAATGTATATGTATTTCGATCGAAAGGATATAAATATAAAAATGTTGAAAAGATACTTTAATTCCAAATTTCAAATATTTTAATTACTTACAATTAGATATTTTATTTTCTCAAGCCTAATCTAATTTGCTGAAATCAAATTCGCGAAATTAAAAATCGGGCTGTCGTCCTCATCCCCAAAAACAGAGCTATGAGGGCAGTTGTACCGCCCATATTTGATAACATATGCATAGCCATTTATATCATCAAAACTGAGTCCAATGGCAGGTTTTAATATATTTGTACCAGTTGGTTTTGCTTCATCAAAGCGTTTGACTAAATTTTTTGCGTGTTCACCGCAAACGTATAATGTATTAATATCGCGGTATTTGTATTCAACTCTTAGGGCGATGCGTGGCGCCGGGCGTAGAGTCGCAGGCTGGGTAATCGAAAGATTCCAGGTTTCGATTCCGCTCGGGTCCCATCCTTCCATATGACTCAAAAAGAGGTTTTCACACATTATCCTATATAATTCCCCGCGTGTAAATATTGCACAAGATCTTGTGTCCCTTTTGTGCAGCTTTCATCAAAAGTGTCATTGCACCTAATTCTATTAGGTGCATCGACACCTAACCTTTGATGAAAGGTTTCGGTGCACCTAATAGAATTGGGTGCAATGACACTTTTGATGAAAGCTGCACAAAAGGGACACTTAGATCTTGTGCAATATTTATTGGAATCTGCAGCGGATGTTCATGCTCAGACGCAAATTGCAAATTTTTTTTTCGTTTTGATATACTTTTAAGTTGTAGTTTTTTTTATCTTTATATTGAAGTACGAATTATCTATATTAATTTATTCTGTATTATAGGAGCATGAATCAGAGGGAGGTAGAACTCCACTGATGAAGGCTTGTAGATCAGGTCATCTGTGCACAGTTCAATACCTCATTTCGAAGAATGCTGATGTTAATCTTTACCTTTTACTGTATGTACATAAAATTCTGGAAAGAACCGACGACATCACATCGATCTTCAAATATTTCTCGCGTGCTTATTTTTGCTTGCTTTCGTATGGGGTTGGCACCGGCGAATACTCGCCGACGACATCGATCTTCAAATATTTCTCGTGCTTTTGCATAAGACGTTGCAACATCATTTTGTACAGAACACGGCATAACATCTTCAAAGAGGGCAGCCATGCTGAAATAAATTACATATGTTAAGCTAATAAAAATACAGATGGTGAAGCAAAGATATGTCACAAATCAACTCACCGAAAATAGTCTCTCTCAATAGTTTCTCTTCTTGCGTATTAATCCTGAGTAAAATTGTCCGCGTTCCTTCGATGAAAAAATTTATGAAAACCAAAAGAAACTGCCAAAAACATTAATATTTATATCTTCGTTACATGAAGAATCTTTGAAGACAGGTTGAGTGCCGCGTGAGGAATCCTGTTTTTACCAAAAAAAAAAATACGGTCGGAGATAAAAATCTCGAATATCGTTAACCTAGCGCGGATTCTCGCAGGAATACGCGAACACAAGCAACACACGTGCGAGTTAAGGAAAGGATTACTTACTTGAGAATTTTCGGTAACAAGGCTCAATTATGCATAACAAAATTGACCAATCAATTTCCTTATGCTTATGATTATGCGCTTATGCAAAAGTATGTGTGCTCCCCGCTTTAGTGTGACTGGAAAAAAAAACTCGTTGCGCGTTATTTTAGTTCATCCAGTTATTGTTTTATTTAATGATGGAGCAATATGGAGCAATTAAGGAGCAATCGTTTTATGCTGGATATAGTTGCAGAAAACTATTGGAAATATGTTTTTGAGTGAAAATGATAAATTTTACGTTTTTTGTAAATATTTCGAAAACTACTAATTTTAAAAGGGGAGCAATTGTGGATTCTGACGGAGCAATTAAGGAGCAATCGTTTGAGCTATAAATTATTAAAAAATATGAACTTCCAGCGCCAACTTATTTCCGGTTCCGGTCACAATCTATACGTGAAATTATTTGCTTTTATATTATCTTCAGAGAATATAATCATCTTTTACATTATCGGTAATACTGACCGCGTTCAGTAGAGAAAACCGCTCAGTAGCAATCGAATGTGATTGGCTGTTACTTTTAGAACCAACAAATCAACATCGAATGTTGACAAGACGATAACTGAGCGTTTTCTCTGCTGAACACGGTCATTGTGAGCAGATTTATAAATATGTTGCAAGTTGACGGTACAATTCACTTTTTTTTTTTTTTAAATAAAAATGATAATAAATAATAATAAAAATGCTACAGTCTTATATGACAAAAGTTGAATTCTTGAAGGCAGATCGGAAACTTTTTTTTTTGCTTTCTTATAGAGGAAGCTTTGTTTTCGTGAAAAAATTTTTTTTCGGGTTTTCTATGCCAATGTGTTTAGAATGTCCCAAAACGTCGAAAAATCATATTCCTAAAAAATGTATGTATGTATGTACGTATGTAATTGTACAACCTCTAACTTCCGCAATTTTTG